ATGGGTAATGGGGTTGTCATTTTTTGTGTCTAGTGAATACCAAGGAGACTACCCGCACACCGTCCATTACCAGTTATGCATCACGCGCACAGTCATGTTTACTTCACAGGCGACGGTGTAGCAGTTGCTCCACTGTCCTCTGGCGTCCCGATGCCCGAGGCAGACCGGTTAACTGACAGTCGCCAGCATCAAAACACACCGGCCCTCACAGGCTTTAGCTGAGTTGCGTCATGGTCACGTGTACAGTTCTGGCTAGCTACGTTTACCAGCCTATTTGGCGCCCAAGTGTCCTTGTCATCTGACCCCCAAACCACGGCCTTTGAGGCAACTAGTCACACGGCCAACAGTCAGACAGTCACTCAAACACGAACTGACCCAAGCGCGTAAACAACACACCTCTGCTAGCCCATTTCCGGAACGGTTGAATTATCCAGACACCGCTGCTCACACGCTCAAAGAAGGAAACATTCAACCAACGCAAGTCAACGGTTGATTTACGGCAACTTGTCTTGTGTATCAATAAATCGCTCCTAATATTTGACTCCCTTCTTCCATCAGACAGAATAGCCTTAGTTTTGTGGTTAAAGTAGATCACCCATTCTTGACCCCCTACAGCGGTCAACTGATCATCAACTACGGAAACTTAATTAGGTAAGCAAAGATGCTTACAGGCAGGCCCCTCTCATCCAATTTGTTGTCGGCCACCTAAATTTGTTTGAAATGAGGAGCGGGTGTCCTTTTTAGTTCGCGTTGACACAAGAAAATCTCCGATTTATTGGTTAACCCAACAAAGAAGGCCGGCAACGTCTAACAAAAAAAGTCTTTTTTGTGCTCTTGAGCACGTAAAGTCACCTTGATTAAAAGGTGTAATACTTAAAAGGATCGATATACAGTAGTGTTCCTGTTTATTCACACCGTAGAGTACGATGTCACAAGTCAATCGGAATGAATTTTATATGATTTGCTTGTGAAGAAGAGAATTAATTTTGATAATGTTTACATCAGCGGTCTAATCAAAATGTATGAGGGTTATCTGTTAAGTTAAATTAAGAGTGGTTTAGTAGGAATATAGGCAATTACCATTAATTGTCACCACATGTTAACGATCGTCGGCAGGGAAAGTTAGATTCGGTTATACGACCCTGCGCTCGTAAGCATAATAGTTAACTTTCCTTGGAGAAGTTCTTTGGGAAGCAAAAATAAACTTTATTGTGAATTTTCGATACTAGCACAATAGATCGCTGTCAGATGCGTAGAGAGTGTACAGAACAGTGAGAATTTCAAACATACCAGAAAAATTGATAATGCCTAATCATGTTCGGTCAATAGCGGCGTCTGTTGGTTGGCCTCTCGTCCGAATTGGTCGCCGCCTTTTCCATGTTTCCTTCAGATTGGTGTACATAATTTGACGTGCCTACTAATGCACGCGCCATCAGATTTAATGACCTCTAGTTAAATGGCTAGATCAAAGTAAGCTCGGAAGACTGAAGCCATAGTAGGATGAACAGAGTCTTTTTTGAAAGAGGGCAGTGCCACACTTGAGT